TTACTGACATCAGAGTTACTTCTTCAAGGACACCTATGGCATGAATAAATAAAGAATCCATACAGTCTTTCTTCCCACTCCCTTCTTTTCTATTAATCTGAATTCTGCCTATTCTGACGACTTGTTACTCAGCTCTTATTCCTGGATCTTAACTAGTATCGTTTGACTACATTTTGCTTGTACAGTAAATCAAATACCAATACCGGAGCTTTTAAGAATAAATGTGTAAAAAATTCAGGCATACGGGTCTATTACATCATCTCTGCACAGTTTTTTTTGTGCCACACAATTAGATTAATCTCAATTACCAGTTTCTTTAAGAGTACATTAAATTATCAGAAAAAAAAACAAAATCAAAAGCAAGTGAAGAGATAAGTTACCATAATGTCTGTAGGTATATGCTGTCCACATAATTGAAAACAGGAGCTGCTAAAGAAGCTGCCACCAAAATTAGCTGAACCGCTGTGTTCATCTGATAAAAGCAAAATAGGAAATGTGACCAAAATGAAGACATGTACTATGTAAAGAATATAGACACTTTTATTACTGGTTTAAGTATTAGTCTATATACAGAAAATTTATTTAGGAGCCTCTTTTAATGAGTTATATACTCAGCTGAACTATACACTATACATACTCAAAATTAGCATGCACTCTGACAGAGCATAGCTGAAAATCTTTCAGGATGTAAATTGCCTTCAAATTGGTTGGCACTATTTTGAAACTGCATTCAGGGGTAGTAGGAATCAGCCCCCTCCCTCCAAACTGGACACCACTCCAAGTACTGCGGTGTTACAGAATCACAGAATTGTTAGGGTTGCAAAGGACCTTAAGATCATCAAGTTCCAACCTCCCCCCACCATGGGCAGGGACACCTCACACTAAACCATAGTTACTACTATGTAGTAACTATGTAAGTACTGTTAGTTACTACTCTTACCTTACTAATGAATGTTGGTTTTAGTTGGGCAGTAGCGTAACAGGGGTTAAAATACCTACTGAGTGTTCTCTGTTGGGTGAGAAAAAAGAGGGAAAAAAAGTCAATTTAGTATATTCAATTTGATATTCCTTTTCACACAACACAGAACAGACAATTGTAGCACTACAGATTATACTGATATTGCTCTTATATGATTTACTACATAGTATATGTAGGAAAAATGTAAAAATAAATTTTATATGATTTATTACACATCATACACAGGAAAAATATCAGTAGCTCTGACTCACCTTGATGAAACCTATTTTATGAAATACTGCTCTGCTTACAAACCTATCTGGTGAAAGAACAAGCACAACACCACATCTTAGGTTAACCACCCAAGTTTTAAGTCATCATCAAGTCTCAAGATTAAAATCTTCTTTGGTTACAACTTTGTTGAAGGCTTATTCATATTTTTGTACTTTTAAAAATCATTGAATTGTAGAATGGTTTGGGTTGAAAAGGACCTTAATGTCATCTAGTTCCAACCCCCTGCCTTGGACAGTGGATGCCTCACATGAGACCACATTGCCTAAGGCTCTGTCCAACCTGGCCTTTGAACACTGACAGGGATGGAGCATTTACCACTTCTTTGGGCAACCTGCTCCAGTGCCTCACCACCCTCACAGTAAAGAACTTCTTTATATCCAACCTGAACTTACCCTGTTTTAGTTTAAACCCATTACAGAAGGTTTAATCAAAATACAATGACTACATGTTCCTACAATTTTGTTTAAGGCTATACACTTACCGGTGGAGAAAGAGTTTTGTATCGCACGTAAAAAACAGCAGCAATGAGCGCTACATCCCTCAGAATAATCATGGAAGTAAGAGGAACTGAAAAACCAAGCCAATAGAATCTAATGAAAAATCATGTTCATGATTAAAACCAAACCAAAAAGTGCACAAAATATGAAGCAAGAGGATAACCACTCTCAAATGCTTCTGAACAAGTTTTATGTGTGGCTGGAGATTTTTACCATGACTTCTGAAAGGGTTTAATCTGAAGTCTTAAAACAATCCAGTCCATGAGAAAATTTCTGATATAGTTACTCACTATTATTGCTTTAAAGAAACACACTTGAAAATGGCAGTATATGCTAGTTGGTTTTGGATATAGCAGCACGTGCTTTCTGTGATGTGTGTTAAGTATTTGATCAGAGCAAATAACCAAGTGCAACTGACAAAGCAAGAGTTCCAAGCCATAGTTTTCCTACCAGAAACACAAGAAATATTACTACACATAAAATCAGCTTCTTTACCTTATACAGTACATGCAATTGATGTTTTCTCACCTGGGATAAGATTTGTACAGGTCAGGCTTACGTAGAGCACACTGATGAGAATTTTGTCAGCCAGAGGATCAAGAGCACTTCCCAAAGCTGATTTCTGATTAGCCCAGTTCCGTGCAATAAATCCATCCAACTGAGAAAAACAAAGGTCAACGTTTTTGTTAGAAAACCAATAATAAAAATAGCTTATATAGGCTGTATACAGAAGTATTTCATGAATGACTTCACATAATACAGCTAGCTTAAGATGAACTATTATACCCTTTAGCTGTATTTTATGCTTTTTTTCATATTGCATTCCAGATTTTGGAAGCCTCTGAACGTATTCAATTCTGATTATTAAACAATATATTAAAAAAGGGAGAAAAAAGAAAAAAGTGACCGATGCTCTTAAAATTCACACAATTATTGTTATAATGGCTGGACCTGGGACACCTGCACACAGTTACAGACTACCAGTGCATAAGCACTGACTGGAGAATGCCCACTTGGGGCTGGGTCAGGGAACTCTGATACTCATTCCCCGTGCTCCAACAGCACTAGGTCTCCTTCGGACACCTCCCAGCTCCCTTCACAATGTTGCCAAGGACATACATAGCATAAAACCAAATCTGTATTGGAATATGAATTTCAGTGCATGCCAATTGGTCACCATAACCCACCACTATCCCCACAGTATTCCCAAGCTGATGCACACATACCAAATCCGTAATACCAGCCAAAACAAAGACACCCAGTGCAACGTTGAAGTTTTCTTCAACGATCAAATAGCCCAAAACTGGCGCCAAACCCATTCTTGCCATTGACAGTATGTTTGGGATGGTCCAGGGGTTTTCATACTGTAAAACAAGAAAGCAAAAACTTCAGGTCAGGAAGGCAAACCCCGATTTGGCACGTAACAGTCAAGGCAAACACACACTTTACGTTAAACCAACCTTTGTGTGCTGTTTGCGCAAGACACATGGACACGTCCCTAAGCTACTGAACATTGTAACACAGCCTCCAGAGCGACAACGCACCACCGACAGAAACCCACAGAGCCCTCCCGGGGCTCCAACTCCGGGCAAACCCACCCGTTCCCACCAGTACCGGGGTTACGAGCGCTCCCCCCCGTATCACGTACCAGCTCGGCGTAGCGCCCTGCCACACGCCGCTCCTGGGGGGGTTCCGATGGGGTGGCGCCGCCGCTGAGGAGGCGCCAGGCGGCGGCGGGCTCCCGCAGCAGCCGCTGGGGCTGCCGCCACCACTCCGCCGGAGCCCGGCCGCCCGCCCAGGAGAACACTCCGCTGTTGCCATGGCGGCGGCCACCGCGCCTCTCCGCCGCCGCTGCCCCGAGCCGGCTGACCAGAGGCCTTGCGCCGCCGCCCGGCCGCCTCCGCCCCGCGCCGCGGAGGAGCCCCCAGAACCCCCTGCCCAGCCAAGCGGCGGCCAGCATGGTGCGGGGTGGAGCCTGCCCGCGGGGCCTAGGCGCGCTGCGGGCCTGCCCGCGGCAGCGAGCGGCCTCCGGCCGCCGGCGCCATCCGCCGCCCTGGCAGCCGTGCGGGGGCTCGGGGACAGGGGACGAGCCGCGGGCTGTGCATGTGCGGCAACGGGGGGGTGGAACGCGCGACTTTTTGCGGCGCTTTACGGCAGTGCTTTCGCCGCTGCACCGCGCATTTTACGGCAGGCTGCCTCCCGTGGTGGGGGGGTCAGCGGCTGTGTTGGTAGATCCCAGCTATCAGGAGAAACGGGGAGAAATAAGGAGAAAACGGGGATTTCGCCGCTTAAGGACTTACCCGGTGGTTACAGCTGTCCCCTGGGGGCCCCCGGGAGCGGGCGGCGGAGTCCATGGCGGCATGGCGGGCGGCTGCCTGGGGTCACCCCGCTCCTCCTCACGGCGGGCGGCGATGTGCTCCAGCTGTTCTATAAGGGGATGAAGGTTTACTTCATCGTAAGAGACTTCTCAGAGGAACGAAGTGGTTTCCTGTGCTCGCTTTTCGCTCTCCCTCACCCACGTTTACTTTAGCTCAAGGAGGAATAAGAGTTTACTTTTCCAAGTGCAGCCGCTGATTTGCTTCTGAGGCCTGCGCCTGCCCGCCCTCCCTGCCGGTAAGAGGCAGCGGTGGTGTTCATAGTTCTGGCACCAGTTTATCACCCAGGTAGGGTTTGAGCCCCAGCTGTTTAATCAGCATTAGTTACATGCAGTAGTAAGTAAAACAAACGGAGGCTCTTAAAACCCAGTGGCATGTAGGATATTTACCTCTTCCACAGCCACCTCAATCTAGAAAAAGCAGTTAAAATGTGTGTGATTTTGTTAATTTATTAACCCTTCTGCCACATCAGGTAGATGTATTTGTTTTTTTCGTTTTTAGACGTGTGGAGGGTGAAGGCAGGAGTTGAACATGACCTGGGCACCGGGAAAGGGTGCACCATCAGCAAGTTTGCTAATGAACAGAAGCAGAAGAGTGGCTGAGCATTGTGCTGCCATCGAGGAGGATTCTTATACTGAAAGCTTCTCAGCTGGCATTTTATTGCACTAGACAATGATTCTGATTTAGTAAGACTCAGGAAACGTTCCGCACTTTACTCTTGTGGAACAGACATTACTTATGTTACATAGATGCCATAAAAATCACAGAATGGTTTGGGTTGGAAGGGACCTTAAACCTTCCACTATACTAGGTTGCTCAAGGCCCCATCCAGCCTGGCCTTGGAACACTGCCAGGGATGGGGCATAAATAATAATAAATGTTATTTATGTTTCCATGACACAGAAACATAAATAACATGTTCCCATGACACCTACACCAGCATTCACTGTCACTGGGTGACACAAAAACAAAACACAGATTTCTCATAAAGTTTAATGAAAGACATAAATAAAAGCCAAATGCCATTTTACAAATTAAATAGGGTAATAAAGATATTTTCTTATATCAGACTTACATTTCAAATGAAAATATCATCTACAAAGAGCAACAAATACAGAGCTGCCAAACAGAAAATCAGGTCAGTTTCAATAAGGCAGCATTTCTTAAAAGCAACAAAACTGTGTTGTCTCAATATGAAGGTTCCCAACTTTTGGACAATATTTCCATATTTAAAATTCTTCTAATGAGCTACGGTGTTAAAAATATAACTCTTGTGTTCTTGTGATAATGTTGTGGGTCCAATGTTTGTTGTAAAGTAAAATCTGTTACAGTACTGCAATCATGTCAATACAAAACACACTCCCCCCTCATGGATGATGAAGCACGTGTTGGTCTTACCCAATCTCACACCCTGGAGCAGACCTAAGATCTGTCAAGCAGCAACACCAGGTGTCTGTTCGTACTACAGCACCCTGTGGGCACTCTTAGTTTCTGAAAGGTGATCTCACACCTCAGTAAGCAACAGTGCCAGCAGTGCCTTGACTGCTGTGCTAGGCTGCAGCTCAGTGTGCTTCATTGCTGCAGGGCCATCAAGTCCATTCCAGGTGCAATGATTAGGTCTCTCAAAGCTTTGCACTGTGGCTGTTTTCACATAGTCTGAAGCTGATAAATTCTTGAGCCTTTTTTCAAAAGATAACCCTGATCATTTAGGGATCCAATAAAGCTTTCAAAATCAGATACCTGGGAAAAGAAAGACAAAAACGTGTTTCAAACTGAAAAAATGACATTTTATCTGAGGTAAACCAACAAAGTTTAAAAGAACTGAGTAAAATAATTTGAAACTTGCCTAAGAATAGGTTAGTTTCCTTAGCAAACTGCTGACCTGCTAGGAGGTTGCACCCTTTTGCACTCTATTTACACACCGTTTTTAATGGTGTGTTTAATGGTGGTGTTACATAGAACAAGTGTTCTCCATATAATGACATGCAGAAAGTATGCAGTTACATATGTCTAAATCTAAGTCTGAAACCCAAGTATCTGTCAAATAAAAGTCTATTTTCTACATCACCCACTGATTCCCAGCTATTTGTTACAGGTGCAGGGCTTTGAATGCTTTTTCATAGAATCACAGAATGGTTTGGGTTGGAAGGGACCTTAAAGCTCATCCAGTTACAACCTTCTGCCATGGGTAGGGACACCTTCCACTATACCAGGTTGCTCCAAGCCCTGTCCAACCTGGTCTTGAACCCTGCTAGGGATGGGGCAGCCGCAGCTTCTCTGGGCAGCCTTTGCCAGGGCCTCACCACTCTCACAGTAGAGAATTTCTTCCTATTATCTCATCTAAATCTCCCTTCTTTCAGTAGAATGAGCTATCAATATTTTTGTTTGGTTGAAGTCCCCACCCATGTACAGAATGCAGATCAGCTGCAGAATAAAACGTGTGTGGCCATGTGTCCCACAAGATACTCTATCAAGTTACAGCATTAGGATGCCTGAAGCAGGAATGAAAACCCCAAAGATGTATTTGGGCCAGAGAAGGTCAAACAGAAACATCACTGCACTGCTGAAATAGAGCACAGACACCACAAGAGTCTAAATTTGGGAGCAAAAATAGGTGTGTCCCCTGGGGAGCCAGAGCAAGTAGAGAACACTGGAACCAAAATTGCCTTTCATAAACAAAGCAGGATCTTGTTAAGGACCAGAAGAAGAACCAGCCCTTACTAGTGCAAGGAGCCATTACTGTCAGCTAGTAACATTAGTAAAGCTAACAAACAAAAGGCAATTCGGGAAAATTGTTAAGCCTGACAAGCAGAAAACATTGCTTATTTCTGTTCATTGCAGAGGCACAACAGATGTGCCTTTTCTGCCTTCTATTTTGCAATAAATCATTTTGACTGACCTTGCAGTTTATTGCAGGAGAAATGCTCAATTTCCTAACTTACCCGGATCTGCAGCTCCTTTGCAATCTGCCGAAGCTGTTGCAAGTCAAAGAGATTGTTGTAAGTTCTCTCTGCAATACTGTTAAGGGCAGAAACAAATCTTTTTGCTTGTGACCGATTGCTCATCCCAGACCCATGCTGTGAACGCTCGAAGTCCAGTTTTCCAAACTCATCAGAGTAGGTTCCCAGCATGCTAAAAATATATTTAAAACAAGAGCAACAGAAGGGAAAAGCAAAAGTGCATCAGTTTGCTTCCTGAGGCATAATCACATGGGGAAGCTTTCAGAAGCCACATAGGAAACTATCCCCTGGTAAGAAAGTCACTATCTAGGGAACTTAGACTAAGCATCTATCCAAATCACTTCTAAAGATGAATTGTTCAACTGAAACAACAGAGTAATTATACAAGAGAAGAAAAACCTTTGGCAGTGCCTTATGTCTAATCTACTGTGCACAGATCTACGTAACCACTACAATGATACAACTCAAAGGCCTAAGCAATCATAGTCAACCTAGGGTTTTTAAAGAGCTAACAAATCTGAATATTGGCATTATGGGGCTAAATTTGATAAAGTAATTTCTTCACTGTGTTTGTGTACCAAAAAGTAAAAGGTTTGAATGAATGGCACTGTGATTGTTTATTTTTAAAGCAGTGTGTATTACCTGTATTTCATTATTTCTATTACATCCTCAGCATCTTCCTTGGTAGATTTCTCTCTTAATTCCAGTCTTGATCGTGCCTTAAAACAGAACAAAAAACTCCACAGAAGTACATTTAAGATATATTATAGCCAATGTGAAAAAAGGCTACAGTCACTCCATAACAAGCACAAAGTTCAGGAGCAGAGATGGAACCTAAGCCTACAGGATTTAGAGGAAGATTTCTCTATTTTTTCAACAGTGATTCCATGTAATCTCCTGCACATTCACATTATCAGGCTGTAGCGTGGAGTTTACTTGCAGCAGTTTCAGCTTATTCCTGCCTGCACCTACTTTTTTTCCTTTTGGGAGAATGTGATAGAGCCTCTTTCATAGAACCACAGAACACTTTGGGTTGGGGAAGGGACCTTTAAAGGCCATCCAGTTCCAACCCCCTGCCACAGGGGCAGGGACACCTTCCACTAGAGCAGGTCGCTCCAAGCCCTGTCCAGCCTGGCCTTGAACACTGCCAGGGATGGGGCAGCCACAGCTTCTCTGGGCAACCTGTGCCAGGGCCTCACCAACCTCATAGTGAAGAGTTTTTACCCCATCAAGGGTGTTTTACTTTATAAGAGGCTTTAAGCAACAGCAGCTCTTAAGCATTTTCAAGTCTTTTGCATTCTTACCGTTTTGTTAACAACAAAAAAGCACAGCAGTGAATAAGCTGTCAAAAACTATAGGGTATCAGTAGCAGTTTAGGAATAATCTGTTTGCTTTCAATCCATTCAGTATTACAGCTTGCATTTACCTCAGTAAGTCGTATCAGTGACTCTAGCTGCCTTGTGGTGATTGGGGTGCTGTCTGCTCCTTGGTTCTGTTTCCGGAGCTCAAGGTAGAATTCCTGGAGGACCTGAGCAGCTTCTGAAGATAAATTTGGGTGAACGTACTGCCGAGCATATCCAATGTACTTCCTCAGCAGCTGATGTGGAATGGCATCAAAGTTTTCTCCTGGTAAAATCTAACCCAGTTACAAGGAGCTTAGATTTCTGTCTGTCAGAACCCTATAGAATACAATTTTTAACATATAATCTTCATCCTCTGTGCTTTATCTGCTGAAATCTTCACTGGAAGGATTTTAGTGCATCATATATGAACTGTGTACTTGTAAAAGTCCATACACTAGGCTTAGACATGTAATTAAACACGTTTGTCCATCTCAAAAAAAGAAGCTAAAGCTTCTTGTTTGCAGTGACTTAACCGTATCACGAATTCTTACTCAAAAAGAGAAAATCCAGTTTCACAGTTGTTATACCATATAACTCCACAGATAAAACCACCACTGCTGATATTCCATTCCCAAAAGTGCATGGGTTTAGCTGCAGTAGAAGATATATCTCCCAAGACTTGGCATTTGACAACAACAGCCCTCAGAAAGATCACTTAAGTTCAACAAGAAATATGCTTCCTCTTCCATAATCTCCGAATCTGTCATGAGTTGCAAATGCTCAAGGATTTGTTTACACACTGCTTTATTCGGATTCAATACTTCACATCACATCATGTTATATTAAATTATTGTATCCAGTCTAGTTCTGTAGCTTTTTATTGAAATCTAACACAGCAAATCTGCTTTAGAGCATCACACACAAATTATCTTCTTGCTACCACAGTTGAACCCAGCTTGGCTAATAAATTCTTTTCTGTGTGGAGATGAATATGGCTTAGGCACATCTAACAGCTCCAGCAGCATGGAGCCATAAGTGTTGCTTGAATGCAGAGCAAATTATTGTGAGAAGAATGAGAGTGGGAGACTGAGGGCATCCAGCAAGTCAGGCTTGCCCAGGTCTCAGTGCCAAGAACATCACAGGAAGGGGCACAGCAGCAGTCACAGGACAAGTCTTACCTTTAGTCTTTCCAGCAGGGGTCGATCTGAAGTGGCTTCAAGGATAGAGCGATCCTGTGTGTTGGTGCGAGTCACAACAGCGCTGCTGCACATTGCCTGCTTTCCAGCACGAATTGCCATCACGTGCTCAGACAGCAAGTGATCGTGGTCTTCATTTGGGGTATCCAGCAAAATGAAAACTAGATCAAATCTCGACAGCAAAGCACTCCCCATTCTAGAGACGAGACAAGAAAACCACAATGCTCATAAAGAAGGAACTCTGCTCTACTTCAAATGCACGTAAAGAATCTTGTCCCATTATTCAGAATGAAGTAGAACATTTTCTCTCTCAAAAGTTCAAGCTCCAGGAAACGAAAAAGCAGTTATATAAAGCTACAAGACTATTATAAACATCTACGGTGATGAACTATATAAATAGCATTTCAGTGGTGAACTATATAAATAGCATTTCAGAAAGTGCTCACTTTAAGTTCTCAGACACAGTTTTGGCTTTGTTATAATGTCCTCCAACTGGGTTTGCTGCAGCAACAATAGATGTTCGAGCTGGCAGGCTGCAAACAATGCCAGCTTTGGCAAGGCTGATGCTTTGCTGTTCCATGGCTTCCAACAAAGCCTGATGCTGGTTTCCCATCTTATCAAATTCATCTATTCCACAAATTCCTGGAAGCAATTAACAACAGGGCAAAGACTTACTACAGAATGCATTAACTGATGGATGAGTGAGTGTATGTTACAATCCAATGCTATATCAGAAGCCCAACCTAGAGTCTTAGGGACTGCAGGAGACACTGGATCAGGTATCCATTTCAGCAAGGGCTGTTTTCATTTCATGGTGCTGCAGGTGAACCATTATGCAGTTGGTCTGGCTTGTGGAAACAGTGTCTTGACCACACATTAAGATAACAAAACAAGCTTTGTAAAAGTATAAATAGCTGACAGCAGCTCTTTTTCAAAACCAGTAAGAGTCCAGCAGCTGCTATTAAGTCAGAGATTTCTCAAAAAGGAAATCCTAGTTCTTTGCCACAGTAAGGCTGGTTTATGAATTGCAGAACGCCAGTTTCATATGAATCCTAATCCCTAAGAAAGCAGAAACCACCTCCAGAGAAGTTACTGGAGAGGCTCAGAACTTCTCAAGGTGTGGAAAGCCAATATCATACTTCAGATTTACATTTTTAGTCCACAGTTACGTAAGCACTGTAGTTAATCTTAGACTTAGTAGCATATACACCCACCCCCCACTTACAGTCACACAAACTCTGTAGCATTACATGTATTACCTTGATCTCCAAGCACTAAAGCGCCAGCTTCTAAGGCAAAATCTCCAGTAGCGCCATCTCTAGACAGTGTAACAGTCAGGCCAGAGCTGGTGGAAGTGTTACCACAAACATACACACCTCGAGGAGCAACATTGCACACTGCCTAGAAGAGAAATAAGTACTTTTTCCCTCCCCCAGATGAAGAATTTCATAAGCCTTATTCTAGGGAAACAATTTAAAGTAAACACAAGTTTCTATCTTTCTCCTTAAGGTGGCCCAGCAGTAATGTTGTGTCTTTTGGGGTTGCAAGATGTTACTTCTGTAAAACAGTAGGAGTAACTTTGATCACAAGATTTGCAGCACAACCATGTCTACCGTGTTATCAAAACTGTTAGGACCTTGGGTATAGCACTTGATATCCGTCACAGAACTGCAGATATACAGTTTCTGTGTCTTCAGACCCCAAGGTCTATTCAGACTAATATCTTGTCCTGGTGCCCAACATGCTGGCTGCTTCAGAAGAAGCATGCATAGTTCTCCCCGCAACTAGAGCATGAAGGACAGTCTAGTCTTTTCTATGTCGTTAGCATCCAGAAAGCACCCTGCAATTTGAAATATGAGCTAGAAAAACAAAGCATGGTCAGCTTGAACACTGACACATTGCAGTTCAGTTTGCCTAGAATACAGTTCTAACTGGATTCTCCCAGTAAATATCTATAGTTTTGGGTGCCCGTTTTATTTAAACGATAATACCAAGTGTTTTGTTCAGTACCACCTTGACAGGCACCAAGTTTTACATTAAAAACCCCCAAGCACCCAACCAGACAAAAAGCCCTGGCTCTTTATACAGCTTTGCTTTTCTCCTTGGGATTTTTTTTCCCTGTCACAGTGATGACAGAGGAGCCTTGCCTCAGGGTCTTAGCTGAGGAACAGATTACTAGCTTTTCTTGGATGGCATTCAGCTGTTTAGTAACAGTATGGAAAAACAAATCACCCGCTGTATGCAGAGAGTCCCCATTCAATGAAAAAAATAACTGAGAAATTTGTTTGTCAAGATGCTTGCATACAAATCCATCACTTTCAGTTATTGCAAGTTGTATCCTAACAAAACATGTCCACATTAGAAAGAGTCTGACTTTTTAAATGAGGTACTGCAAGTCCAGGTGAACTCTGTCCCTCTGTCACTTCACAGTAGCCGTGGGAAAAGACATGGAGCTTTAGAACCATTTGGTTTAAGATTAAAAAAAAAAAAAAACATAAATCTATTACTAACAGATTTTATCACAGCCATGTAGAAACGTCCACCAAGATTAAAAATCCCAAATGCAGGTCTCCCCCAAAAGCCAAGATCTAGAGCTACTAACATAGCAGGTAAGAGAATGGAGGTAAACCTCATAGAAAGTGAATAACACGATATTTTAAACTGCATTAGTTCCAAGCGTGTACCTTCTTCATTCAGCTAGTCCATTGTCAAATAAAGTTATGAAGGAGTAAAACTCTTCACTGGGAAAAACCTCAACTGTAAAAGGGCAGGAGAGCAAGCCTATACTTGAAAACCCACAGGCTTGACCAAGTATACCTGCTTTAGTAAGAGTTTTAACAGGCCTGACCCCTTCAGCAAGGAGAGGACAGCAGTGGACCGCCCTTTGGGTTCTATCCTATATTTGAGGTGTCCTACATTAAAAGACAGCTGTAGCCAGACCCACGCAACCCTTTGGTCTTGGCACAGCTTGTGCTTACAAGAAGTCAAGATAACAAGGAATTGGAGAAAAATACAATAGCACAACAGAAGTAAATCAAGCCTTACTTGCAACATTTGACTTTTTCCCAATCCTGGATCTCCAACAACCAGAACATGTGGATCTCCTCGCACTGGGATTCTATTCTTGTCATCTACAAACTTCTGACATCCTCCAAATAATGCCAGGGCCAAACCTGCCTTTACAATCTGTAGTGGTACATACCAACACTTGTAAGTATTTGATCGTGGTGACAAATTCTGACAGTTCCCTGGTATTGGCCATAACAATGCTTTCCTTCTGGATGGCTGAACTTAAGGTTATAAAGCTGCCACGTTCTGGTCACTGAAAGTGACTCTGAGTCACAGTTACCTGCAAATACATTCCCTGCTCCTTCCCTTCACCCTGGATAAGCTTTATAAATCACAGAATGGTTTGGGTTAGAAGGGACCTTAAAGGTCATCAGTTCCACTCCCCTGGCATAGGCAGGGACATCTTCCACTAGAGCAGGTTGCTCCAAGCCCCGTCCAACCTGGCCTTGAACACTGCCAGGAATGGGGCAGCCACAGCTTTTCCGGGCAGCCTGTGCCAGAGCCTCACCACCTTCACAGGGAAGAACTTTTCACTGTCTAATCTAAATCTCTCCCCCATCATCTTCAAGTCATTCTCCCTTCTTTAGGAGCTTACTGTGGCATAAACATTCCAAACTGAAGTTGCAGTCAGAGCTGTTGAATTACTTACCTCATGGCCATAAATTGCAGGACAAAGAGAGCTGAAAAACAAAGAAGATTGTAACCTAAGGGAAATATAAATCTTGTAGAAGAGTACTTCTCTGTCTGAACTGAGGGTCTTTCGCACCCTCTGCTCAATTCTTGCACCTCTTTCCTCTGCTGTGGAAAAGCAGAGTGAGGAACAGAACAATACTCATGAGCTGAATGTACTCAGTGAAGAGCAAAAATAATTCATTGTTTTTTTTTACCCATAGCTTTCTGTCTCAAGGTTGAACTGAAACACTCCTAACTTCCCTGTGTCCTTAAATCCCCCTCAAAGTTCTAACACCCCAACTGCAATACTTCTTCCCAAGCTCCTTGCCCATGAAAGGTTTTTAAATCTCTGGTGTCTGTTGCACAAGCCTTAGACATTTCATAGCTTTGACTGTCATGTTTGTTTGAAGGTGGTCATGCTGATTCAGAAATCTAATTCTAGACCTACTGTAGGTCTGACAGAACTTACTTCACAATGAGCCTGAACAGGTTTTCCTCAGCTTGAATTTCTTGAACAGCATAAAGGTCTTTAAGTGAGAATTCCATGAACGATCTCTGAAAAGCCTCATCATCAAAACTCTTTGTTTTTTGTCCTTTACTGTTGCTGACAGAATTGGCCTCGATGTACAACAAGAACATACACTTGTCAGTCTTACTTTTAGAAGCTCCTGTTAGAAAAATTGAGAAAGGATGAAGGAATATTCTTTCTATCATTAAGTACCAATGTTATTTACAAATGGCATAGGGTAATTCAGAAATATTAAGTTCAGCCATGTGCAAAATGTTCGTATTTAAGTAATGGAACATCTGCATTTTCAAAAAAAAATGGTGAGTTTCTGGTTACATTGTTCTTTAAATTCCCTCCATTTAGGTACATAATAAAATATTCTGCTGCATTAGGAGGTTATATGCATATAGAAAAAAAACTTTCTCCCAGAATAAATGAAGTTTTCCAGGAATTTCAAATTATTACATTACTTTAGTCAAAGTTGAATACAAAATGTTCCCACTCAATATTTAGAGGGGAAAAAAAAATCCATAGTGCAGAATAATTAAACATGTGGCTTAATAATTACTTATTTTCTATATCCCCAATGATTACTTAGCAGAGAACATGGTCTCATGGTAAATCAGTACTGCATTTCTCTGCAATGTATTCTGTTACAGTTGTGTGCAACGTAACTCCTCGCTTTGGGGAAAAAAAGAAAGAAAAACAAGTTGTAAGATTTCTCCAGGGAGGACTGAACTAAGAAGGGTGATACTCCTTCACAGCAGAGTGACAGCTTTCCAATCTTTTGAAGGAGATCTTAAAGGGAAAAGGCTAAGCAAACAATGACTCTCAGTGAGATTTCAAGAAATAAGGATGTCCCTGCTACATTAGTGCTCCAGAGAAGGCTTTCCTATCAGCTGACACTAAAACATCAGATGTCAGACTGGTACTTAAATTCAGGTCAATAGTTGTGTCTAGACCAGTGGATTGTGAACCCCGACATGTCACTGATGGAGATCTGTGGATGTTAGAGACAGTGCTCCTCTTGGACAGCCCTATATCTAGCCTTCTCAAAATAACTCCTTGTTATAAAACTTTGACAACTTCTGAAGGAACACACACTTTAACACATCTACAATTTTGAGGCTGACATTAAGGGAATAGCTGTTACCGTTCTTGTGTTATCACTAGAAAAAACACTGCCCTAGCAAAAAGATGTTCTCAGATGATGCGTTTTACCTTCCTCAGTGCTTGACACTTTTACTATCCCTGTAACAGTGACCACATCTCCCGGGACACAGCTGTCCACAAGATCTTGAACCAGTTCACATTCAATTGTGCGAGGGATTCGCCCTGCCTCTTGCTGATCATCTGCCATGAGCTCCTGCACCCTGCAAAACATGAGGTGGGTGCACAATCCCTGTATAACATTACAAATTCAGTTACAGCACACAGGATCTGCAGCTGTATGCTTCCAACCAATCCAGAATGGAGACAGCAGGAATGCCCTAAAAAACTCTAGAAAACGCAGCACTGAATTTGGAGAAAGACTTTTTCAGTTCAGGCTTCAATAAATGGGTGTGTATTATGCATAAACCCCAGAAAGACAATTAACTATAAACTCCAGAAATAATAAAAATTCAGATTTTGTAGCACTGAAGAGAAGAAATAAGTACAGTATGTGAAAAAAGATGGACCTCACATAAAAAAAATTAAGGCGTCAGCCACGATATTCCTGATGAAATGTTTAAGTGGCATTTTAACCCTATCAAAGCCCAGAGTATCCCTCATACTGTAACCAGGACAGTAGCTCACTCTTTGTATAGTTGTAAAAGGCAAGCAAATAACAAGTTCTTCAAAAGGTTCCAGTTTGGGCTCTGCACTTAAAGCTCTGATAGTTTTTCTCTAAGCTCATTGTCAAGCTTTTCTTAAGCTGCGATAAACAGCACCCTCTAGAGCTGCTGACAAGAATGTCAGCATTGGTTTTTAAATAAAATCTTCAAATTACTTTTATTACAGCACGTTAATAAATCAAAAACATTTAGGTGTCATTTGACATGATAACTTTTGACACAGAGCACATGAAGCTACAGAATCTGAATCTGAAGTGGGAAAAAGCCGAGTCCTGCTTTTTCCAAGCCTTGTCCATCCCCTTAGCTTAGTAAGGGGCCACACATCAAACTCTTCTGAATATATATTATAGGGCAACAGTAGGCTAGCTAATAGCACATAGTAGAATGGAAGCAATGAAAACCAGATCCACCATCCACCTTCCTATACTTTAACATTGTTAATTTGTATAGAAACAGTGACTTGTTCCCCTATAGCAGAATAGCAACAACAACAAAAAAATATTTAGGCATGCCCACTTGCTGATTAGACATAGAAAGCAAATGAATGGGGAGGCACAGCACTATTTCCTTCTACTGAGTGTACCTTAGGAACACATCATCACTTCAACCTAAGATTTCTAGCCCTCAAATTTACTTCCAGTTCATTCAACTGGCATAGCTGATCAATGTAATTTAATAGGTGTTTTGTAGCTGACTTATAGTGTGATAAAGGGAATCATTAAATAATAGATGCAATTAGAAATGATCAAGCTGCAAAGAGCACAAACTGGACATTTCCCAGAGAACTCAGTCATGGTAGGAGGAATTTCCAAGAAGCTATTATATTGGGTAGGTTTAATACATGAAGTATATAAGTGCTCAGATAAAACCAGCGCTTCGTAATACAAATTTTGAAGAGTGCTTGCCACAGAAGAGTTAGATTATTAAACTTATGCCATGTGATATGGAATGAGCCATCCTGTCCCTCTTTGACTACCTTGGTGCATTACATCTTTGAGCAGAAGTGAAGACATGCTTACTTAACAGACTGCCAGTCCACTGTAGTGGTTAAAGGAGAGCTTCTGTCAGCTGTGAAAGATCGGCCCCGGCACTCAGGAATAAGGCACTGTAATGACAGTCATTCTAGTTCATTCTCAACTGCTTTTTTAAACATCAGGATTTCAAATTGCCTAATTTAATTAAAAAAAAATATATATATACATATAAAGAGGGAAAACAAAGCAATGTGATTCATTGACATCACTTCAGGAAAACAGCTAGTTAAATTAGGGCTACAAATTAGCACATACATAATTAATGAAGAGTTATCAGCCACAGACACACAAATTCAGAGTTGTTTGAGCAGATACAGCGCATCTTATGATCCCCTTGGTGAATTGGTTCAAGTTCTTGGGTGCTGGGGGGGGAAGGGTGATGGTAGGTGAGGGGTTTTGTGGGTTTGTTTGTCTGGTTTTGGTTTTTTATTTTTAATACTTGCAGATGTTCCAGAGGAGATAATTTTTTCACTTGAGCACATCAGCTAACGTAACTAGGCACTGTCTTATGTCTAATAACTTTCTAAATCCAGATAAAAAACAGTGAAATTAAAATGTTCTAAACAAAATCCACAGAAGACCCCAATCTAAACATAGTAACCACCACAGTGAGGTGGAGGAGGATTTTTAAACAAAACTGGTGAAATGAAAATGAGAAGATATTTCATTTTTTCCTAGATTTGAGTGAGTTTCTACATATTGCATTTGTTTCAGCAGGATACAACTTTTTTTCAAATACCAAGGGTATGTAGTAATACAAAGTTGCTTTTGATAAGCTTTATGTTTTTTTGGCATGTCATTTGTTTAATGTAGCTTTAAAGATACTGGGTTTTGTCAGATCAGTACAAATAAGAGAAAAGTATGAAGTTAGATGGTTTTAACTTACCTTAGTTGGAAGGGTATACTTTCCATCAGGTAGAGGAACACTCTGAACATCTCCACATGTGCCACATACAAAAGCCAGCTTAGTGCACAGAGGCTTAATGTTACTGACACGCACAACAGTGCCACGCAAGGCAATGTATTTCCCATAGCAGTTGGCTCGAACGTTTTTCAGCTGAGTTAGCGGATCATAGTTGTACACCCTACAGAGAAGTTAAACAGTAACATTTGAAAGCTTACCATACTTAAATACAGAAACAAACAAACCCAACAAAAACCCCAAACCCCAATAAATGCAAACAAAAAAAATCCTACACCCAATTATTAGCAGTAACCCAGAGCAATAAGTAGAAGCAGTTTGGCTGCAGGCTCATGGCATAGTATTTCATTCCTGTTTTAGGAAGCAGTGAGACACTTGCTATTCCCCAGGTGTTCCCGCTATTCCCCTTAACACCTGTTTCTCCATTTCACTCTTTTGTTCACAAGGACAGTTTAGCCTTTGTCATGGTGAACCAAAAGCAAAATGTAGACTGCTCTTCTGTAACTAGCTTCACAGAGACAAGTCTCTCAATAAAATAAATACGTAAGCCTTATTACTATGCATGGATATTGACAACCATTAGACAAGAAGCAAACAGATCTTCCTGGAAAAAAAACCCTGAATACTCAACACACATTACCTAGCATGAATGAGAGGCACATTTATTATAGGTTCTCCTTCAAGTGGTAATCCTTCCTGCACCTGCAGCTCTGCAGCATGCCTTTCAAGGTCCTTTGTTAGCACCTAGACAGAACAGAGAAGCAGGCACAAATGCAGTGTGCCATGCAACACGGAGTCAATTTGCTGTTAGGCTTGATTCCATTTTTTTTACAACCAGATCCCCCTACTGCAGTTTGAAGAGTTCTCTGCTTCTGGGCAGTTTTAAGCTTCATTTTAAATGGAACTAAAATCAACATATTTGTTGTGTTTCAGTTTTTAATTAACAAAGCGTCTACAATAATCTTTAATGCTGTGCTCAATATATGGATTTTTGTGTGACATAAGCCACAAACATCTCAACTTGTCTGTCAACAAGTAGTGAAATGCTACTTTAAGAGACAAAGAGACAGGAACCTGCTCACCATTCACCCACCAGCCGTGGTTTTGCTACATGACATGGGAGACACAGCACAGATAATTCCCAGTGTGTTAAAAATAAAAACACCCCCCCCTCCCCCCCCCCCGGAATTAGAACTCCCAGTAGGGAATAACAAAACTGTTGGAACTACATTTAATTTACTGCTTTGATGATGAATAAGCAAAAAAGAAAATACCAAGCCAAAAGGATTTTCAAAAACATGATTTTGTGGGCTGTACAGAAATGGTTGAGAAATGGCAGAGTTTCAGTTTTAAATAAAGAGTAATTTCCAATAAGGGAGAAAAAAATAGAGTCCCACTGATTTGTTTTTCATTGTGAGGATTATGCCTCTGTGTATTAGAACATCTTACTTACCTGGTGAATTGCCAGACCCATACATTGCAGTATCTTCTGAGGCATGTCCCTTAACTCAGTAGATAAGTTTGGTATTGATTTAGTCAATTCTTTGTCTTGTATCAGTTCTTTATAGTCCACAAGAATACTTCCTTTTCTTTCTATTTCATCCTGTGAAACATTAAGTTATAAAATACACCTAAAATTTTAAACACAACACATAGAAATCACATCATAAATATTTCATATCTATGATGGAAATTATTTTTAATGGAGAAAACACAGGATTTGTAATGTTATTGTATCAACAGGCTGTTGGATGGGATGTTTTATTTTGTTTTTACCTTATCATAAAGCTCAATGCGTTGCATGAAAAACTTTTCAAAGGCTTGAGTCTTCTGGACAAAAGGAGACTTGTCAGCATAAGCTAATTAGAAAATGCCGTGTTAGTAATGGACAGAAATAATCACTTCCCATTTCACAAAATACATGAACTTTTTTTTCTGCATTCCAAACCTGAGAAAGATGATAGATCATTACAATATCAGTTACGTTCTATCGTTACACCCGATAGAAAAAAAAACAGAGCTTTGTCTAGGATGATATGACAAGCACATAGGAATAAGAGAAATACAGCAGAGGTATGCAAGTTCCAGTCTTTGGTAGCTGCAGGATTTATGTGGCTTATTGATCAAGTTTAAGAAAGACCATGTTTTACGTTATGCAAGACTCTTCACAGTTTGGAACACACAGAGATTATTGTCTCCCACAAGATTGAAATCTCTGTTGTATTCATGTTTACATACAATAAATACAAATTTCAGTTGTTTTTTGTTGAACTTATCCACTCTACTTATAACCAATTCTAGAAAAAAAAAAGGAACAAAATGCTTTATAAAATTTTAGTCTAAAAATACCTTCTGAGAAGTAAAGTTTCCAGCCTTTATAGGGAATAAATTGGTCCAACGTTGATTGAACTAGTCGAGATTTTACTAGGAAGAAATTACAAAAGTGGGGATTAAAACAACGTGAATATTAGACCTTTGCAAGTTTTATTCTTGGTGATTCTTTTGACCGTGGGGAGGCAAATAGCTGTAATCGCCTAGCGCAGTAGGTCAAAAGCAAAGCATTATAGCTTTAGAGAACAGGTAGAAGCACAGGAGAAGGCTCACCAGGCTCAGGCACTCTTCTCCACTCTCCCCTGTGTCCTCTGCCTCGCCATCCGCCTCGCCATCCTGCTCGCCACCCCTGAAAGCCTCTCCCGCGGACACATCCCCTGCCTCTGAGGTCCCTGCTCATTCTGCTCCGCAGGCGTCAGCCTGGGGATGCGACAGCAAACTGAGCCAAGAGAAACAGAAGTGTTACCAAAAGAAATTTAATCTATATTAGGGCCAATTGCCAAGGGGGCTTCACCTGCGGGGCTACGACTAAGGCCCTGAGGGACCTCGGAGGCCCTGCGGAAGATTCGGCCGCCCACTCCCTACCACAGAGCCCGGGGAAGCAAAGAGGAGCCCCGCTGAGCAGCCCCGGCAGTGAGGGGGCAAAACAACAGCACTAAGCTCCCTCAGCAAGAACCTCCACCAGCCCCTAAGGAGGCAGGGAAGCTCTCATATCCCCCTCAGCGCTCTATTTTGGCGCCCATACACTCCTTCCGGCACTGTAGCCAATCGCGAAGGAGCATATAGCGTCGCCATGGAGCAGAGGGCGCAGCTCGCCAGCTCTCATTGGCCGCCCCTTTCCCTTCCGAGGGAGTTTCACCCCGCCCACTCGCTCTTGTCCTCTGCGTGTTCTGCTCCACCTCCAAGATGTACTTACGCATGCGCACTGGCCCTCTCCTTGGTGCGGAAGCGCACGAGTGGCGGCAATGGAGGACGGGTTGAGTGTGGTCTCGCGTATTCGTGAGGGGGATTGCGCTGTCCTGAAGCGGGACGATGTCTTCAAAGCGGTACCCGTGTTGCGGCGGAGGTGAGGGGTGTTCGGTGCTGCTTGTCGTCTCCCCCTTGGCCGAGGCTCGCTCGCTCCCCTCCCCCCCACCCTTGAGGCGGCTCCAATGGTCGCCTACCTGAGGGAAGGGGGGGGGGTCCCTGTGCTGCTGTTGTGACCCACAGAGCCTTGCTATGCAGTGAGGAATAACGGCCTCACTGCGCTGAGGTGACAGGCAGCGTGAAAGGTGTCAGTGCTGCCTCAGTTCCTGTGAGGAAAGACAGTCCCGAAAATCACCTGGCTGCGTTTCTTATATAAGTTTGGAAGTTATTTAACCTGTTCTTGTGTTTTCATTGTTAAACGGGTGCCGATTGAAGAGGAGGAAAGGTGCGGCAGTCTGAAAAGCGTGTCTCCATCATATTTCTCTCATTGGGGCATATAATATCTGCAAGATGCAACATTGCCTTCTTAAATACCGATTGGCTTCAGTGTTCTCATCGGTGTTAGGAAGATGCTAGGTGTCAGGTCTGTATAGTTACTGGCTTGTAGGAGATGATATGAAAGGTTTCCTGTTTCTTTTTCCTAGGCCAACTGGCATAGCAAGAAGCACCTGCACCCCAGCAGGAAATACTGTAATCAGTGGACACAGCCTGGGCTCTTCCCATTGCAGCAGACAATTTTATAAACCAGTGTTGTAGAAGTCAGTGTTGGGTAATGTGGCCAGACATCTGATTCAGTAGCGTGGAGCTTTAAAGGTACTATGCTTGAATGAGACTGGTTTAAAAATGACATAGCTCAGACCTAGGGATTTGGGAGTACTGGTTATTGACAGTCTTAATGTTCACCAGTAGAATCTGGCACCGGAATCAGGTAGTTACTCTGTTAGCATGCAGAGCTCTGCCAGGATCTGCTCATTGGGTCCCTCTTCACTTTTTGTTTAAAACCCTTGCTGTAAAATAAAGAATAAAAAGTCAGAGAGTAAATATTGCCATTTAAATGACAGTTTAAATGACAAAGGAAATTAAATTACTTTTGCATTGATTTTTCCCTTTTTATAATCTGATGTGGGTCAGCCCAGTTGAGTAACATATGACAATAGCTGTGGTTGGATGTTCTGTTTTGAATGGTCATCAAAATAAGATTTGAGTACATGCATGCAATTTTTTTTGTATGTCTAAATTCTTTTCCGTAATTTCAAGTTTTTATGAACTTTTATTGTTCTTTTAAGATCTGGTTGGCAGGGATTAATAGATTCTGTGAGCAAGTATGTTAATTTTGTATGAAAAGAATTTTGTAATGTCTGACAGAACTATCTTCTTATGCTTTATTTAAGTTCTGGATTGTACTTGGAGATTTAAGTAATATCATATGCAAAGAATATGCATGAATTGCATTCTTCAGCCAGTACAAAACTGGAAATAACAAAGAACACAACCTTTTTGCTTAGCTTCAGAATTAGTAATGAGTCTAATCAGCAAAATAAGAGCTCTTAATGATAAATTTTGATTCAAATGTGAGTGTGGCATATACACTGGTACCTGTTTCATTTGAGAACATTGGTATTTCCCTGGTCAGCAAGAAAACCTTTGTAGGTCAGGCTGAAAGTTAAAGGTTTTGTGAGTCTTGTTTTGTGTGAAGGAGAAAGAATGCAAGCCTCCTTTAGTGCAATCAAAATGAAAGTGAAAAAAATGAAAAAAAAATTTTGTGTTAAACATTTCTGCTGTCTTCTTCATAGTCTTTTGGCAAATGTTATTTCAAAGGAGCTTGTAAAATACAGGCTCATCCTCATCAAGGGGAATGGCTTTAAACTGAAAAAGGGTAGATTTAGGTTAGCTATTAGGAGGAAATTCTTTACTACAAGGGTGGTGAGACACTGGCACAGGTTGCCCAGAGAAGCCGTGGCTGCCCCATCCCTGGCAGTGTTCAGGGCCAGATTGGATGGGACTTGGAGCAACATGGTCTAGTGGAAGGTGTCCCTGCCCATGGCAGGGGTTGGAACTGAATGAGCTTTAAAGGTCCCTTCCAACCCAAACCATTCTGTGTCCTTTTTGCACTATTCTGCATGACCTAGCATAGGTTTAATATACTTCAGATTTATTTCATTCCTTGCCTTATTCTGATGTTCTCTGTCACAAATGGTACTCTGTAATTCAAGTGATATATACTTATTTTAGCTGTCATTAATGAATTTTTTTGAACTGGGGAAAACAAAAAATCTTCTTACTGTACGCTCAACTGAAGTTCTTTGTTCTTTCCTGACCAGTTTCAGTTAAATGTGGTTTTGTGGTTAATTTCACTTTTTATGCTAGTCCTCCTGGTTTTCTTCAAGGATATAGATAAAAATGGCATGTGTGAAGCTGTAATTTAGTTTCGACTGTTGTGGGTTTCAAACATGATAAAAAATAATGCTTTTAATATCATCAACTTTTTTATTATTTCAGAAAAATTATCTTTGAGAAGCAGTGGTTCTACCTGGATAATGCCATTGGTCATGTTTATGGAACTACATTCGAAGTAACCGGTGGAGGAAACCTCCAGCCAAAGCAAGAGGCAGAAGAGACTAACAAAGGTATTGCAAAGGATTGACTGATGTTTGGAAAAAAAAATGAATTCCAGTTAATTTGTTTCTTTGATAATACCAAAGGTGATGGAAAAGCTTTGTATTAATCATTGGTTAACTTAACATTACTTAACGTTTTTTCTGTCATAAAAGTGCATGGTTTTGTCTTGATCTGTTGTTTCACTAGTCTCATAACAAATAAGCTTTTTAATATGGGATAATATTTGGGCCTTACTTTGGGTGAATATATATACATTAAGATGTGTTCTACATATTACATTTCACTGATTGCTTAGGCAATACTTTGCAAGGCCATGAAGCATGTGGGTTTAATCCTGAGAAGTCTGCTTTCTGTGAAACTAAAATAATGTTTTTCCAACTTAAAGATATTTAGAGGGAGATTTTACAAATCTATATCCTTTTCCTTTAGAAACAAAAGAAGCAGGTACAGATAATCGTAACATAGTTGACGATGGAAAGTCTCAAAAACTGACTCATGATGACATAAAGGCTTTGAAGGACAAGGGTATTAAAGGACAGGTAAAAATAAGGTTTTGGTGTCATTTCTGTGCTACCTTGATGGTTATATTTTAGCATATGAAATAGGCTATTTTTATTGGTGCATAGACTTCAGTGCTTTTTCTTTGTTCTGCTGCTCAAGTCATTGGTTTCCCTAAAGATGTGGTTTTACAAAAATGCAAAGGCTATTTTGAGAGAAAACTTCATGTAAGGTTAGCAGTTCTGTCAATAGTAAATTACGGTTTTGTATGGCATCAGAAGTCATAACAAGGCAAAAATATTAAAACCTTTAAAGAAAGACAGTTCACATAATCACCTTTCAGTTTTGTTTGTTCATAAGGTTAAAATCAGTGTTTCTATATTACAGACCTATTAATTATGCAATAATTAATCAAAGGTGTAGGAAAGGATTATAGATTAATACCAAAGTGGTAACAAAGAACACTATGTAACCTATATACTATCAGCATGCCTCTAGGCAGTACCTACCAAACACATGATGCCAAAACACGTGTTTTATCTGCATCTCAAAAGCAAAGAATATTCTTAAGAGATCTGTTCTGTTAGAAAAGGGTTTGATTTTTACCCTGCAGTTTGTCAAAAAGAAGTGAGGCCATATTAAATGTTAATAAACCACTGCAGCTAGTTCTGTTGCACACATATTATGAGCCAAAATTCTCTATTGTCTTTGGTTTACCCTTTCAAATAAAAATAAGAAATTGCTCATGCTTACATCAAGTTCATCTCCTTTTTGCATCTTGCTGTTTTCTGCTGCTCTTCAGAGCAGCTGTTCTGCTTTTGCCTGCTTAATAATGGATGGCTCCAAGCAGTTTAAATTGGTATTTCGTCCGTTTCCATGATTGTGCTGCTATTTGTGTTACCTCCTTGAGAGGAATGTACTAATCAGTCTGATAGCTTTGATGTTTTTCATTCAATCTCATTATCTGTGGCAGAAGATCACTCTGGTCTTTTTGTATGTCCTCAGCATGCCTGTGCCATATACCTACCATACTTTTATTGTAGGTTATTAAAAAATCCTAGTTTGTTAACTCTGATTTCTGAACTGCAGCTGAATATTCATTTTAGACTGTTGTATGTGGGATGCTGGACAGGGACCCTTCATCTCAGGGACGGTAGTGATAGGACAAGTGGTAATGGGTTTAAACTTAAACAGGGGAAGTTCAGGGTAGATATAAGGAAGAAATTCCTTACTGTGAGGCACTGGAACAAGTTGTCCAAAGAAGCAGTAAATGCTCCAACCCTGGCAATGCCTAAGGCCAGGTTGAATAGAGCTTTGGGCAATGTGGTCGAGTATGAGGTGTCCCTGTCCATGGCAGGGGCGTTGGAGCTAGATGATCTTAAGGTCCTTTCCAACCCAAAGCATTCTATGATTCTATGATATGAACAA